AAAAAAAAAAAAAAAGAAAGAATTTGGTAAATCCGCAGGCTATGCATATTTTTAAAGTTCTTTTAAATTCCGTACACTTTAACCAAGACCCATCAGAGGCTTTTAACCCGAGAATGAACAAAAGAGACTGCTTGTCTAGCAAACGTATTGTTTGATAGTTTAAAAAATCAATTACATGATGCTAATTTTGTCTAATACAAGGAAGCGAAGCGTACGACAGAAAAAAGCACAGGTTGTCTCCCGGTCTCCAAGGAGACGGAAGAGTGCTGGGGGGGGGCCACTGACGTCTCCTGCGCACGCGCGCCCTCTTTCCGGCCGAGAGTCGGCGCAGTGCGCCGGCGCGCATCGCAGGACGACGGCGGGCGGGCCTGAGTGGCTGCGTCTCTGGCGCCGTCTGTAAATGGCGTTGGTGGCGGGAAAGTTGAGTCTCTCGTGCGCCCAGCCTGCGGGGCGATGTGTAGTGACTTCCGTAGGGCTGAGTCTGGGACCGAGGTGAGAGCCGCTGGGGGGGGGGGAGCGAGGGAGACAGAGCACGGCCGCGGCGGGCGAGGGTGCGTGGGACCCGGATGCTGGGAGGGCGTTCCGGGCCTGGCTGGGCCGAGGCTCCCGGAAACGCTGCTCCCCCCGCCCCGCCCTTCCGCGCACGCCCCGAGTCTCCCCAGGGAGCGAAGTCTGAGGGGAGCGGCCGAGTGGAGGCCACAGAAGTCGTTCCTGCAGACCCGGAGGAAATAGGCTAAATTGCCCGGGCTAGGTTCGAACTTGCCATCATCCTCCTGCCTCAGCCTCTCAATGTGCTGGGGTTACAGGTGTGCACCGCCACAACAGGCTCTAGAAACTTATTGAACAAGGGATATTTGGGTAGGTTGCTTCACTTTCTCTTTAATCACCTGTCTCTGCTTGTGGAATCAGCTCCTCACTATCCCAGGGTACATTGAGCCACACAAGCCATCTGATGTCCTGCCAGGGTTTATTTGGGAAGTGAATCAGCAAATATCGATCACTTACTGTGTGTCAGCCACTGGCCAAGGGATGAGAGTACAAAACAAAAAACACAGCTTCTGCCCTAAAGAATTAGTAAACAAGGCTGCCTTAACATGTAGAGTCTGGTAAAAGTGTGCTGTCCAATTAAGGGGCCGGTGCTGTGGAAGATAGTCGAGGGATGAGATGATAACTGAAGTATTAAGGATCATTTGAAGTGGCTTGGCCAGGGAAAGGTGATACTCAAAGCAGAGGGAGAAGTAGCACATGCGTTTAGCTGGGGATCACTTGCTTAGAGGCACTGCAGGGAGTTCTGTGTAGTTGGACAAAGGGAGTGAGGGAGACAGTATTGAGAGGTGCGGAGGAAGCAGTCTCTAGAAACAGCAAACCTATCAAGGGCCAGGTAGGAAATATTTAGAGTTTGCCATTCATGCAGTGTTTTCACATTTGTTCAACTCTGTTCTAATACTTTTTTTTTTGAGACAGGATCTCAATGGGTCTCGAGGTTGACCTTGAACTCATGTAGCCCAGGCTGGCTTCGAAGCAATCCTCCTGTCTCAACCTTCCTAGTGCTGGGATTACGGCATGCTGCACCACACCTGACAATAAAAATTTTTTTTAACAGATCCTAGGGGTTCACTTTATTGTAAGCCAAAGAGTAGAAACCATGTACTCCCCCCTAAGTTTGAAGAGAAGTATTTAAATACATCTTGCATTGAAAGAATTCATTTTTACCATGTCTTTGCACAGCAGCAGTGAGATTTTTAGTTTTATTATCTTATCAGATAGTTAAGTAATGACATCTTCTGTATTGCATGCCTGTAACCCCAGATACTTAGGAGTCAGAGGCAGGAGGAAGGATCACTGGAGCTCGTTGAGTTTGAGGCTAGAGACACCATCTCAAAAAAGTAAAAGTAATACCCCTTGAGTTCTAAAATAATTTAATAAGTAATTGGAAGTGTCTGTCCAGGTATGGTTCCGATGCACAGCATATTGCTTTTTTGTTTTTAACCAGCCCTGCTGTATTTATTAAAGTGGCACACGCTTATGACAAAAATCCCAATAATACTAAAATAAAAAGTAGGAAACTCCTATTCCCATTATCATTTCTAGAGGAAAACTCTATATTTGTAGTCTTTGAGAAATTTTATTTATTTATTTATTGTGGTACTAGGTATAGAGCCCAGGGCCTTTGCTCTGAGCTACCTCCACAACCCTTTTTATTTTCTATTTTGATAAGTTGGTAACTTGCCTGGGCTAGACTTGAACTTGCAGTCCTCCTGTCTCACTCTCCTGGAGTGCTGAGATTATAGATGTATGCCACCATGCCTGGCTTCCAGAAATTTTCTAATGACATTGTAGAGCCCAAAATGGAGAATAATGTACTTGAAGTTCAGAGACCTTGGTTATAATTGTGTCTTTACAAAGAACAAGCTTTGTGATTTGATGTAAGTCCATTAAACCTCTGCTTCTACTTCGTAAAATGAAGGTGGAAGGCTGCTTTCTTGGTTCCTTTTCAGCTCTGTCTCTAGGAGGTGGTTTCTTATACTTTGTTGCCTTTGCACTAAACCCAATATCTGCATAGTAAATATATATCAAATACTGATAATGATGACTGGTTTCCTCAGAAAAGATACAGGCTGGGTGTCTGGCACATGCTTGTAATCTCAGCACTCAGGAGGCTGAGGCAGGAGGGTTGTTGCAAGTTCAAGGTCATTTTGGGCTACATAGTGAGTTAAAGGCCAGCTTGAACTATATAGTGAGACCCTGTCTCAAAAAAAAAAATAATAAAGAGTGACAGGACAGAGGGAAGGAAGGCCAGCAGGCCAGGTTTTTTGTTTTTTGTTTTGTGTTTTGTGTTTTGTGGAACCAGGGATCTAACTCAGGACCTTGCACTTGCAGGCGCTGCACCACTGAGCTACATCCCCAGCCAAGGCCAGCTTCTTTTCTGGAAGTAAATATTAAATGAGACAATATTTAGTATTTATTAAAAAATAGTGATTTCCCAGGCATAGTGGTACATACCTGTAATCTTAGCACTCAGGAGGATGAGACAGAAGGCTTGCAAGTGTGAGTCCAAGCCCGAGCTATGTAACAAGTTCTAGGCCAGACTGGACTACAAAGTAAGACCTTGTCTCTAAAAAAAGAAAACAAGAAGAATAGTAATTGATTTTGTGTGTAATCACAGGCTTTTAGAACAAAGTTTATTTCTTTCTTACCCAGAATAGAACCCATGTTCCATCATTATAGTTATTTCTCTATAAAAGCCATCAATTTCCCTGCCTCTTTTTGCCTCTAACCTACTTAACCTATCCATGGTTAAACTCAACTGTCTGCTCTCATTTCTCTGCTCATTCATCTGACTAATACTAGACAAAAATCACAAATAGACTGATTTCACTTTAAATTTATAATCATCAACTTAAAATGGGAACCCAGTCCAACCATATTTCCCTAGTAATTCACTTCCTACAGAACATGTCTTCCAATCCACCCATATCCCTGAATTGCAGGTGCATATGTTTATTTTTGTCTTAATATAGCTACATGTATGTGTAGTGGGCATTCCAGACTTAACATGCTCATCCTTGACTGAATCCGGAATCCAGGGAAGTGGAAGAAGCATGTGTTAGAAAAGAGTATCATAGGGGCAGACAATCCACTTTCTGGTCCCCCTTCTGTGTCTCTTAGAAGCTTTCTTTCTCTCAATAAATTTTTCCTACTCATGAAAAGAAAAGAGTATCAGGGCCGGGGATTTAGCTCAGTGGTTTCGCCACCTGCTGTGCAAGCGCAAGGACCCGAGTTCGATCCCCGGTACCAAAAAAAAAAAAAAGAAAAGAGTATCATAGCCAGGTGGCAGGGAGCATATCTGTAATCCCAGCACTGAGATCTGGCTAAAGTAGAGTTTGAAGCTAGCCTGTACTACACAGGGAGACCGTCGGTAGTGTAGGTTTTCATGAGTGTGACAATTGTAATATGATTAAGGAGGAAATACCTTTTTTTGGTAATTAAAATATTTGAGGGGAAGTGGTTCAGAGGGAAAAAAAAAGGTAAAGTAAACTTGACAGCATTAGTGAATTTAATAGGTGTATGGTGTTCATTGTTCAGGTGTAATTGTTTCTCTATAGGTTTGAAGTTTTTAAAAATGAACAAGTAGGGAGAAGGTAAATGTTTCCTAAACTGATGTCTTGACGTCCCACCACTCACAGACACCCACACCCCAACTGCTGCTTCTCAAATCTTAACCACTTTTTTTTTTTGAGACAAGTTCTCACTGTGTAGTTCAGGCTGGCCTTGAACTCACTGTGTACCCCAGGCTGGCCTCAAACTCACAGCAATCCTCCTGCCTCAGCCTCCCGAATGCTGAGACTACAGGAATGTACCACCATGCCTGGCCTCAACCCTTATAAAGGACAACTTCATTCTGCCTGTGGCGAAGTCAGACTCTGTGGAGACTTCCTCAAATCCACTGTGCTCTCACATGGCAGGTCAGTTCACACTGAATTCATCAGCAGAGTTTGTCTGCTCTTTCCAAGTATGTCAAGAATCAGACCACTTTCCCTGTCTTTACTGTAGCCATTCCCTGTCACCATCACTATAAAGGTCTGCTCCTTTACCGAAGTTTCTACAATATGTAGCCCATAGTGCTGTCCTGCATTAACCACCTAACTGATCTCTGCTTCCAGCCTTTCTACTCACCCTAGAGTACTTTCCAGAGTATCCAGATCAATCCATTTTAAACATGAGCAAAGCCTGGTGGCACACCCTGCAATTTCAGCTACTCAGGAGGCTGAGGGAGGAGGATTGCAAGTTCAAGGCTAGCCTAGGCAATTTAGCAAGCCCTGCTCTCAGAAAAGGCTTGGGATGTACCTCAATGGTTAAGTGTTTGCCTAGCATGCATGAGGCCCTGGATTCAATTTCCAGTGCTGCAAATAAACAGAAAACCAAAAATGTAAAGACTATTGCTTAAAGTTTCAAGAGGCAAAATCCCTTTCATCTCACAATTTGCTCTTTAAGCCCACCCAGTGATCTTTGCTCTCACCTCTTTCCTTTTTGACCTTATATCCCACATTCTTCTCTGTTCTTCACACACTGCTCTCTGATTTTTCAGTGAGCTCCAGTCTTGGCTCCTTGGCTGTGGCTGTTCCCTGTGCAGACTGCTGTCCCTCAGACATTCGCAAGGCTCCCTTCCCCAGCTTCAGTTTCTACTCAGATGCCAACACCTTTGAGCAGCTTTTCCTAACAATCCAGTGTGAAGCAGCCCTTCCTGCTGCCAGCCTTTATTCATTCCTTCACTCTGCTGGTGTGGCTGCTGCTGCTGGTGAATACTTAACCTACCCGACACTGTACATCATTGGTACTGTCCCATCACTGCCATTTAGTGTGCATGAAGCAGATGTTGGCTATTGGGTTTGCTCTTTTACTGCAGTGTCTACAACAATACTTAGCCCATAGTAGGTATTCAGTAATTTGTTTACTGGTTGAATTTCATGCCTTTCTCCCCTTCCTTCTCC